AATTCCCTGAAGAAGCCACAAAAACAGAAGGCGAAGGAATAGCTTCTTCCTTTACAGTTTCACTGGCTTAAAGGGCAGCAATCTTCCAACCAACCAAATTTTGTCTTATAATTTTATCAACCAGATTCTGCAAAAGCTAGTAGGAGTACTGTCCTCAGAGGTAGAGTCCTGATCAAGTGTGGGGAGAAAGATATTCCTTTCAGCTGTGTCAAGCTGCCAGCTTCTCGTGATGAGGGAAATTCATCCACTGAGCAGAGTTTGGGATTTTCAGAGATAGTCTCCACCCAGTAGTAAAAGGCAAGGAGCTCTCACGCCCACCCACTGTGCACTCAGCCACACCATGTGGGTTCTGGTCTTGCTTCTACTAGAACTGGGTGAGCTGCGTCAGGCCATTTCACAATTTTGGTTGTCAGTGTCTCTTTCTCTGCAATAGAGCTGCTTCCTGGCCTAGACACATCATTCAGTAGAACATTGTGGTCATTCTCCTCATGGCCGTTGGAGACATACCTGGATCTAGTCTGGATCACACAGCCCAACTGATGTGTGGCTTTGGACAAGTTAACTAATCTCTCTGTGCCTACAGCACCTGCTTCTGTAGGAGTAACAATGTCTACATTAAATTGTGGTCGTGAGAATCTGATGATTGTGTGAAATGATTTGCATGGTGTCTAGCACATGAGCACTCACTAAATGGTAGCATTTTTTGTTTTTACTATCCTAAGGAAATGAGTCATGGAACTGGGTTCCACCCACACACACCCCATTGGAGCTGTGGGCTCTTGAGTAGGTTATCTGAGCTTCAGTTCCTTTACCTAGAAAATTGGGAATAAGAGTACTTCCTTCACAGGGTTTTTACGATTTTTTAAATGGGATGATATTAAATGGGATAAAAGAAAAATATTTGGCCTCCAAATCCTTTATCTGAAGCTGCTGATTTCTTTCTGCCTTTACCCTATATCCCACTGATTGGAGACTAAAATGGAAAACAGGTAAGAGCACCTGGAAAAATAACACAGAATGCAAGCCTGACACATAAAGACTTCTCCCTTAAAGTAGAAAGGGTTGAGGAACAGTGAAAAGACCAAAACACAGGAGTCAGATTAAGGAAGCAGAGAATCTGGGGACTTGAAGAATCTAGGTCCTGGGATTGAGTGGTGATTTTCCATTTCCTCAGACATACTCAGCTGAGTATTGTAGAAAGAGCAGGATCTCTGCAGCTAGACCGTGGTTCAAATTCCCCACTCCGCCAGTATGGGCAGACAGACTTGGGGTGGTTTTTCTAACCTTCCTGCACCTCCCCTATAAAATGAGGTTAATGAGTCCTTCTTCAGAGAGGGGTTTTTGAAGTGCCTAGCAGAGGAGTTGGTGCGAAGAAGGTGCTCAATAAATCATATTGATTTTTCTTTTTCTTTATGGGCCTAATTATTATTGATCCTCAGTGTTTATTTATTCATCGCCTAAAGGGGATATGGATGAAGTACTACGATCTCTAGATTCCCTGAGAGTCTTGATTTTAAGCATGATTGTTCTAGAGTCAGACTTTGTATCTGGCTACAGTTTCCCACTGCCCCCAACAATAAAATACCATGGCCTTCAAGGATCCACATGACTTAGCCTCTGCTTGCTTCTTCACTTCATCTTCAGCCATTCTCCACCCTAAGCACTGCCCTTCTTACACGTTGCAATGCATCATCCTAGGGCTCTGCTCGGCTGGCCGGGACTATTCTATTCATGCTCTTCCAATGCATAGCTCCATTTCCTCCTTCAGGTCATCTCTTCAAAAGAGCCTGGGTTCTTTGTCAACCCCGTCACTTGTAATCTCAGTACTGCAGTACGTGACTTCTTTTATACCATATATCACAATTTTAATTATGCATATTTATTTACTTGTTTTTTTCCGCTCCCTCTACACAATAAACTCCACCAGGGTAGAGTCTCTCTGCCTGCTTTACTTTTAATTGTATGTCCAGAGTCCATCGTAAAAATTTTCAGTGAATACTTGGTAAGTAAATAAGTATTAGCTGCTGCATCTTAAAAATAAGATCATTATGGGTGGAGAACTTTATAAACCATTTGAGCTTATTGAAAGCTACCCTGCACTCTTATTTTGAATAATTAAGCCCAGTTCTATTTTATTATGAGAAAATGATCAGCCACCAAACAACATCCATGGGAACAAGCTGCACTGGATGCTTCAGAGAGGGGAAAATGGGAGCTTTCTTTTCATTATTCAGAAGGAGAAATGAACCTACTTCTTAAAAATAGCCAACTTTTAGGCCATAATTGTTTTGTCTGACTTGAGAAAGATGAGCCCTGCTGCTCCTGTCCCTGTTTCTCTGTCCAAGCAAACAAATTAACAACCACCATAAATACAGGTTTCAAGTATTGGAAGGATCGAAACCACCAGCATAACTCCCAGATAAAAGCTCCTAAGAATGTTATCATTCAGCTAAAAGTTGGACTCTCAAATTATTATTTCTCTCCCATTTGGGGAGACATTTTTGCTAAAATTTTTTAAACATCTTTGGAGTTATTTCCATTTAGGGGTAAGGAGAGCTCTATAAACATCCAGGCTCCAGTGAATCTTGGGCCAGTTGCTAAGGCTGAAATATTTAAGGACAACAGTGACTTATGAAGACAAAAAAAGATTCAAATTATTTGAGGAGGAACCCACTCTTGAATGAGGTAGGCACATGCCCCTGCCAGAATCCAGCCGTCTGACGGCAGGACCTCTGCAGTTGCCTCAGGGTTGAGCTCCTGCCTCTGGGTCTCCATAGCCTCCTTTGTATATACACACAGCCCTCAGATTCTCTTTTCACACATCACTTGTTAGACATTCAAAATGTTTCAGCGATTACACCCACTAAGTTGAAGTTAAAGCCTCTCAGGGCTCTTGTCAATCTGGTTCCAACTCAGTGTCTCAGCTTATTTCCCGTTTCTCCCAGTTCTTTTACCCACACTCTCCCACCAGAGAGGTGCATTTATGGCACTTGGAATATGCTTTGATCTGGGCTGAGCTCATGTCGTCTCTTCTCTCGTGCTGTCCATCATCCCTCCTTGGTGGTGCGGCGGCTCAAGTCTGCCCCACTTTCTCATGAAGGCTCTGGCCTAGAGTCACCCACCTCTGAGCTTCCAAAGGTTTCATGATCAAGTCCCAGTCCTGCTGTTAATCATGCCTTGTACCATTTCAGTATTGTTTTATACAGTTATGACAGTTTTTGTTACTTATATTGTTAAGTATGCCACACTGACCCCAGAAATTATTTACAAGAGGGGCCCCTCACCTGGGGATCCGTAATTGGGACTGATACTTCTTTATCCTGTCAATTATTTCCACTTTTCGGTTAAGAGAGTTTGAGTGAATTTCTGTTCCTTGCAAACAAACACATCATGAAAAAGATGACTGTTATATGTACATGTTTAAGACAGGAACTCCCAATATGAGATGGGATTGTCTTTCTTGAACCTTAAGACTTAAGGTCACATACACCAATGTTCTGAAAGTACACCTGGGGCATTTATTTAAAAGCACAGATTTTAAAGATGCAGATTCCTGGGCCCCATCCCATGCTGATTGCAAAAGAAACCCTTGAGAATAGGGTCTGGGAATGAGTATTATAAACAAGATTCCTGGGTGATTTCTATATATATTCAAGAAAATTTAGAGGATGGGGGGATCTGACATTAATGTCTCTCATATGATGGTAAAGGGACATGGGAGAGGAAATAATTCATATGCCTTGAGTACATATCAATTGTGTGCCTGGAAAAGTATTAACTATTTTCACCAGTGTTATCTCTTGAATCCTTAAACAAGTCTATGACATAAGTCTTATCACTGATCCCTAATGCAAGTAAGAAAATAAGTGAAATAATGCATCTCAGGATCTATAATTAGTAGCTTGCTGGGCCAGCATTTAAACTCTGGGCGGACCAGCTCCAAAGTTCTTACTTCTTACTCTGCTGGTGCTCTTAGCAAACCTTTCAAGGAGGGAGGAGGGAGACCATGAAGGCACATCTATGTTGGAGGTTTCCTAGTTTCAGTCTAGGGGAGCTGGGCAGACCCTGAGCCCCTGGCTGGTAAACTCTGTGTCAAGACCACCCTTGACATCTTAAGAGGACAGCGATCCTCAGAGCTCTGAATTTGCATCCTAGACCCCGGGTCTTGAGTCTCATGAGCTCCTGCTGGAAAAACCACTGGCTGTCTGCCTGGACCCAGAACTTAAAGGCAGAAGCTGCGGTGTCTCTGGACTTTATTACAGGTACAGCACACACACTGAGCTTCTGGGTGAGGCTTTAAAGATCAGCGTCATCCAATATGCCAGGTGGACCAAGGGCCTGGCCTGTGTGTGGAAGGTGGAAAAGAGAGGCCCTGGAAGATCCAGTGTCCTATTCACTGACAGGAAAGGGGTGCTAAAAAACCAGGTCGGGATGGAAAGGAGGGCTGATTGTGCAAATCCTAGAGAACACTGAAGTCCTAACATTTGGAGATTATAGGTCTAAAGCAGGGGTTCCATTAAAATCACCTGGGAAGATCTTAAAAACTGCTCTAGGTGACTTCAGTAGGCAGCCAAAGGAGAGAACCCCTGGCTGAAAGTGCCCCCAGTAGCCAAGTGATGTCAATTGAACCTGCAAATTCTCTAAGGGCAGCTTGCATTCCAGTTTCTTGGGAAAGCTGACATCTGTCAAGTGTACACCATCAGCCACAGTCTCTCCAGCCTGAGAACTGGGGACTGCCTGAAGTTTGACCGGCTGCCGGAGCAGGGTTCCCTTCACTTGTCCCTTTTCCCTGGTAGGGGAGAATTGGCACAGGAGGAGGAAAAAGAAACAGGTGTGAAAGGCAGGAGGCAGAAGTGGAATATGACGAATACGAAGATATACAAAGGAATGTTCTCTCACGCAGGAACACATCAGTCTCAGAAGAAGGAATTGTGGTATTTACAGCAGGTAGGGGAAGAAAGTGCCTGAATGTGTAGTCTCAAAGGAGGGGCTCTACTCACTGAGTGGATGATGCCTTGCAGAGCCTGAAAGCCATCATTTACAGGAAATACATGGTCCTTACTGTCCGCAATCCGGGCCAGCTGAAAACAAACACACAAACACACATAGATGTGTCATGTTTGGAACTGAGGGAAGCCAGTGGGTCCAGGGGACTCCACCTACTTTTAGAACCCAGGGGAACACAAGGCTTTGACTTGGCTCAGGGGCCTCACTGAAAAGCCCTCAGTAATAATGAGCTTACCAGCAGACTATCTGGAGCACGCCTGGAGGGTTGGCTCCAGTTTCTACATTTGTTTCAATACTTTTCTTCCTTGGGAGAGAGGTAAGATTGCCCAGCTAGATGAACATTTGGCCTGGGTTCATGTATTTATGGATTTGGGGGCAGGCCATTGGCTCATTTTTCTCCCATTCACCCAAATTTCTGTTGGCAACTGTATTTGAACCTAACAAACTCAAGTTTCCTTTCAGAGCAACTTTAAAAATAAAATCAAGCTTTGGTGTTGGGTAAGGCCACTGAATAGGGACCCTTATCTTCACCCAACCTGCTCAGCAAGGAAAGGACCCCCCGGTGGTTTGGCTGCTCCTGCTTTATGGAGCAGAAAACTGGAGAAAGGAGAAGCTGCCCTGTGAGCTTTTCTACCCCCAAATCTCTGACATTTCTGTGATTTCCACAGTCACAGCCATTGCCAGGATTTTTATTGGTTGCAAAAATAACACATAGTCATTGGGAAATTTCAGAAAACCCAGAATTGTTAGAATAAATTTTTTAAAAGTTACTTGTAATACACGTATTCATCTATCTATCCATCCTTGCATCTAACACATTTCTATTATTTTTAATTTGATATATATATTCTTTCATAGTTTTTCCATGCAATATCCACACATTTGTTTAAAAAGTGGACTCATATTAGTCCCAGTGTTCTGTAATCCAATGTTATTCCCTTAACAACATATCATGAGCACTGTCCCATGCTATTAGGACAAAAAGAAATGACAAACTACACTTAGTAACATTCTTTTAGGTTGTTAGGAAATTTTCACATTTGCTTATATATTCTTATACATACCTTTTTGTCCACTTGCCAATTTCCCTTTTTTTTCTGTATTGAAAATGCACTGTATGTTTCATGTGAGAAAAGGGATGCTTGCCATTTAAATTAAAAATGTAAGATTCATCACATTAAATTAAAAAGGAAAAAACAACCAACAAGTTTTCCAAGTTAATTCAGAGCTGTTTGGACACCTTGGCAGTTTAGCATCTACCAAGAAAGATGCTGCCTGGACGGCCTGTGTTAAGGGCCCCAAAGTGCATCAGCAAATGGCTTCACAGCCCTTACTCATCCAATAATTCCCTTCCTGCTTAGCATTTCTAGCGGGTATGTATGTTGCCGATCCACCCTCTGCACTGAATCATTCACAAGCTTTTATGCCCCCCAAACAAAGGAAATCCATAATCATACCTGTGTTTCATTGAAGTCCTTCACGCCAACACAATAAACAATTGCACCAAGGTCTCGGGATCTGTTAGCCTAGTGCAATGGAAGAAAAGACATTAAAGAGAGAGCAGTGGCAAGCATACTCCTTTTGCAATAGCAGGCTAACTGCAATGATCAGATATTTACTGAGCACTTCCTATGTACCAGGTACCACAATGAAGAAGGTAATCTCTGTCGCCAAAGAGCTTGTACTCCAGTGACTGTCCCACTCTAGTGTAATGCATGACAAACATGAATGGAGATTAGTCTAATGGGAAGTGTTGAGAAAGGGCCACAGAAACAGTTTTTGAAAGACAAAGGGAGGAAAGGGAAAGTGTAGGCAAAGGCAAGTCATGTTAAATATTCTGGGGAAATGCCTACCTTTTCTATTTCTCTGATGAATTTTTTTTAGCATGTTTTTTCTTCCTCTGTGATAGCAGCATGATATAATAGAAAGGTCATGGCCTTTGGAAATCAATATACCTGGATTTGACACCTAGCTTTGCTCTGTAAAGTATTCTGGTGATTAAATAGATAATAAATGCAGAGCTCCTCACACAAGGTCTAGGGCGATGCAGATACTTGTAACTGTCAGTGCCCTTTGTGGATAAAGCCATTTTTCATTGCCATAGAATACACTGGCTTAATGGTATGAGAATTTTGGCTCATATTTGAGTAGGTGAACCCAAGATCTTTTCTACAATTAAGTATTGAGAAGGCAACATGAAAAAAACATCCAGGTTTTGGCTTGATTTTAATATTTGATTTATGAAAGGCTTTGATAACTGATTTCCAGATTCTTCTGTGCTTCAGAATAGAAAGCAATAATCCTTAGTATATACAGTAATTAATAAATAATTGATAGTAAACAAATAGAACACACTCAATATGTGCACATTAATTTGAAATTTTTGTTTTTCATCCTCTGTTAGTACTCAAACCCACTTGTGACTACTACTGAATTTTAGAAGGGACAGGAACATATACCTTTTTTCCTTCATGTTAGAAATATTTCTTGAAGCTTTCAGGATAAAACAAACTTTTAGACACAGTCTAGCCCCAGCCTTACCTACAACAACTTCTGTGACACTTTTCTTCCAGTTGGGCTTTATATAGAGTTATCAAAACTGGAAAAGTTGATTTTCTTTATATATCTTGAGTTTTATCTTTCTTGTTCAAAAACCCTCTTTCTATTGGCATTGGCACGCTGAATATTTTTCCAAGTTTGTATGTGCCATACTTAAAATTCTTTTCTACGAATCCCTATTTTAAGTATCTCACAACTATCATTTATTTTATATTCAGTTATTTCCTTATTAGGGTTTTTATTCTATTTGACTGTTGTTTGGCACCTAGATGAGTGATTTTGCATTCCCATTACATAGTTTTAGCTTTAGAGTATAGAAATTATTTCCCAAATGCTCAGGGCGTGCCTGTCATATTTACTTGCGTGTTTCCTACTACGAATTATCCTTTATACTAGTTAGTGGTAAGGCGAAGTAACGTGTTCACCTACATAATTTTCTCATGCCCTTTGTCAGCAGAGTCTTCAACAAGCTGCTCATTATTACACGATAAGGCCCAGGAGGACAGCAGCTGTGTCTTACTGACCTGTGTCCCCAGTGTCTAACAAAGTGCCCAGCACATGCCTATCTCTCAGTTAACACTGAGTGAATGAATGAATGAATATATACTTCTTGCTTGCCTAGGGATCTAAGTTTAAATTAAATAGTAGTCAAGAGCTTGAGGTAAGTGTAATGCTCCAATTAACTCCTCCCCAAGAGACCAGAATCTCCCTCCCTTACTGCCTTTTTCCTTATTGCATTTTTTTCCTAAATTGGCCTGAAAAAGCCTTTAATACATTCCCATGGTTAACTGGTTTCCTTGGGCCCATTTATACATATGGCTCCTACATCTAAAACTTGAACAGAAAGGATTTCCGAAATATAAATACTACTTATTAATTTTTGAATAAACCTTTTTTTTTTCTGAATCTCTTTATACAAACTGAAAGTTTCACCTAGAAAGAATTCTTCCATTTGCGTTGAGAGGTATTTGAAGAGAACACAAAGTAAAGGAAAAAAGAAATATCGAAGGAGAGATTACAATTTACTTTGCCACCAATTAATGTTCAACTTTGGTTCTTAGAGTGAGAATCTCAATGATTAATGCGTTCTGCCAAGATTGGCTCTTACATATTTTAAGAAATTCTTTCCCCTGCTGTTTTGAGTAGAAAATATGTGGGAAAATTCATTTTAAAATGTTTTTGCTTAAAATTATATATAGTTTTTAAAAACTGCTGCATCAATATAGTGTTTTAATAAAGGTATAGTAGATATTTTTTATTCCTGCCCCCCAAAACATAAGAGTAATATAGAAATATTTTGAAAGGGAAAAATATCTACCATATATAAGACATGAAAAGTCATTTTTTTTATTGTTGACACTATTACAGATGTTCCTTATTTCCACCCCCCCCCAACTTTGCGCCCCTCCATCCAGCCCCCACTCCCCCATGGAGATTCACTTTAAAAAATAAATTATTGTTATTATTATTTTACATATAAGACACAATTTTATCCAGGGGTTTTTACCAAGAACAACTCTCACTTTAGCCAAGTAAGAAAGATTGCAGCCCGTTTCAGAAGGAAGAAGCCCTTTTCCATGTCTTTTTAGACAGACACAGGCCAGACTGTTGCTTACCTCCCTCTCTGAATAGAAAAAGAGATCTTCATGGAGTTCTCCATCAGTCAGAGCAATGATGACGCTGGCTGTCCTGTATCCTGCTCAACACAATACAGACCCACTCAGTCCAGCCTGCCACACCAAGGGAGGCCCTCTCTCAGCCCTGAGAGTCCATCTCTTGTAAGCTCAACCACCCCAGGTCCAATATGATGAAAATCAACAGCTTTTCTTTTGGGACTGGCAGCAATTCCAGCATGAAGAAGGCAGACTCTAGGGGGGAGCAGGCTTTGTTTGGGGGTTTTGGCCAAAAATTGGCCAAACCTGGAGAAACGGTTTCTGGACTGATAGGTTGGAGTAGCTTCAGTGCATCAAATTTCTCCTATTTCTAGGAACGGACCGTGCGATGGTCACCCAGGCCTGGGAAGAACGCACTCTGCCACCTGGCCTGTTCAGGGGCCCTCCTCACATGCTGCAGGTGAGCACATGCACCACCCCTTGAAGAGGTGGGCAGAGAGTACATGTCATCATAATTTACACGCTGACTAAATTATAGTAGTTGGCAAAGCCTGCCAGAATTCTTCCAGCGATTTTTAGGATTCTCGTTGATGGTTGATGTACATATATTAACAAGTGGTGGTGCTGATACTGGATCTATTTTATTTGTTGTACTTTGGAGTAAAATCAGAAGTGGACACCTCTACAGGCCTGGGAGGAAAATCTCCACTGCAATATTAAATCTTTTCAAAGAGATTTGCCTCAGATAAAGAAATGCTAGCCATAAAAGATACTATAGTAACAGTAATAGCTAAAATAGTAATAATAATAAATATTAGTACTATGTGCTAGGCACTCTACTAAGTACACTTTTTTTTGCACTTTTTCATTTAAATGAAGGAAAATTTAAACCAAACTGATATCTTACTTTTAATATCAAATACAATCACAGAAATGACAGGGCTGAGACCAGAGAAAGAAAATTGAATTTGACATAAAAATCCAAGACTTTACTAATCCATCGAGTATTTACTAAATTCAACATGCAAAATTGTTTACAGGTATTGCAGACTGTAGCCCACAGTGGGATCCAGTTACTTTCATACCACTTTTCTTGACATCAATAGGATAGTAGAATCGGACCTGGTGCATGTCATCTTTCTATGCATTCCTTCTTCAGGATGAAGTGTGTCCAAGGATTATAGGCAATACCAAATATGTCTTTTAAAACATGAAATTACCGAGGCATTTTTTTCAGAAACACACACAGAAGGAAAGTTAAATAATTCATAATGACAATTCATAATATAGTCTTACCTTGACTGTTTTCATAATAAATCTGCTCACTGGCCTGAAAAACACATGAAAGAGCCATTAGACATACAGCCACTGTTTGCTGCTCCAAATGCCACACTGGGCAGTGGGCTCTGGTGCTGGATATGCAGCCATGGCTCAGTCTGGATTCTTCCTGTAATCCACCCAGACTTCAGGCAAATATCAATGGGTGACATTCATCTAAAGTCACCCTGACATGTAACTAACGTTATTTGTGAATATGAATCTCATAGACGGGGACTTGTTTTCCTTAACATCGAAGTCATTGAAATTCTGTCTCAACCACTGAAGCAACCTGTAGAAAAGGTGACCTTGGGAATGGAAAGGACATCCATGTGGGATGACTCTCGAGTGTCAGCCAAGCATTCGCTGGCAAACCTTTCATCGGAGTCAGGGGAGGAGCAACGAGATTTCTTCAGTTCTTTTGGAGAGTGTTATCTGTGTACAAGTTCATGGGAATTTTTTTTACTCTCTTGCCGTTGGGTGTTGCGCAGTTCCCTTAATACATGTGCCTTATCTCATCAGCCATCTTTATGCTGATGTTTGCATGTCATGCTTTACATTTGGAATAGAAAGTTGTTTTAAAATTACCCTTTCAAATCCTTCATGCATGTAAGTGTCTCCTCCTGGCAGGACCTTCTGGAGTTCTTCAAGGCCTTGGCGAATCTGTTCTCTGAAATCCAAAAACACCTCATTAGTCATATTAAAGCATTTTTTTTAATGTGCTGTTAGACTCCTAGGCATTAGTCTTTTTCTTATCTCTGTGGATAGCTTGTATCGCTCCAATGGTCCCCCAAAAGTCTATCAGAGGGAAAGCCTTTGTAGTACATTATTCTTTCAGGGCCAGCCACAGCATACAATGAGAGATTCCAAGGACTGAGGGGAAGGACCCTTCTTCAGGAATCTCCATCTGCTCACGAAAGTCTTCCATTTCATTAACAGGACAAAGTTTTCATTCTACATTAGAAATGGGCCTTAAAATGCAACTGTTCCTGAGGGGACACTCAGCAACTTAGGCATCTTTGTATCAAGAGGCAAATGGCTCTTGTGAACCAGAAAGAGGCGAGTACCAAGAAGCCAGGGCAAGGCCACCACAAGGACCACAGGTGGGAGGGGCAGGCGTCCGAGCAAGCTCGGCCACCCGCACAGTTGTGCCAAAGGAAACGGTGTAGTCAGCTTTGAAAACAAAAGTCTAGGCAATCTATGCTTTCCAGGACAACCAAGAGTGTTTTCTGTGGGCTGGTGCCTGTGTTTTCCTACTCTGGTTGCTCAAGGTGACCTTGGGGCAGGAAGAGGAAGTGGGTTATGGCATTAGGAAAGGGTACGACTGAAAGTGGGGAACATGAATGGTCTGAGGATCAAATGGAATCTTTGTGGACCATTCTCTCTGGGATGTACGATGTGTTCCTGTCTTTTAAATAGTCCTATACTGTGCCAAGAGAGCAAGAAAGTGTAATTTCTGTAAAAACATTAGCCTTATTCATAAACTGTAAACCTATGAAAAGTTTGAGGTGCACTATTTAAGTTAGGAAGGGAAGCTTCTTTTGAGTGGAGAAAGAACCTTACATTTATTAAGCTACACTATATACAAGGCCCTGCACAAAGATTTGTTTTTGTCTTCACAATAACCACTCAATATGGGTATATTGCTCTCACAGTAGTGAAACAATGGGTCCAGAGAGGTTAGGCAAAAAATCAGACTTGAATTCAAATGTGTCTAACTCAGAAAGGTTTTCTACTTTACTAAGTAGCCTCCTAGCCAACAACAGTGCTGGGGAAGTGGGAAGTTTTTGGTTAACACTAGAGTTAGTGGAGAGCAGTAGCAATTTCTAACACCGTCTGAGTGCTTAAAGTGTATCAAGCTTTGTTCAAAATATACCACACACAATTAATTTACTTATGCTTTATAACAGCTCTTTTCAATAGATAACACTGTTATTTCCATTTCAGAGAGAAGGAAACTGAGTCACAGAGAGGCTAAGGAACTTTCCTAAAGCCGCTTAACTACTAAGTGACAGAGGTGGGATTTGAATCTAGAAGCCCTGCTTTCGATCACTGTAATAAACTGTTTCCCTTTTGAATGAATGAAGGAAGGAAGGAAGGAATAAAATTTATTACTGGTCTATTCTGGCAATTGCTTTGGGAGGATGTCTAATGCAAAACTAACCTTTTGTTTAAACACTTTAATGGGGTAGCCATGGGTGAATCTAGGCTGTTAGAGCGTTTACAAGACTGAAAAGGGGTTGACCTGAGCCTATCCCTGGCCTGGGCTACTTATGCTTCTCAGGTGGAATAGTGAAGGCCAGGCAATTCAGACTTTGGAAAATGTACAGACTACTGTTGGATTGTCTTACTAGTACCCAGATATCAGACCACATGCCCAGCTGCCCGTCAAAAACTGGAAGCCTTCCTTGACGCTCTACCTTGGCCCTTCTCTCTCCCCAGCATGATCTATCAACAAATTCCATTAGTTTTGCTCTAAGCTCTGGCACGTCTCCATCTTTTCTGCCAACACCATGGTCTGAGCCACCATCACCTCTTGCTTAGACCACTGGGCAAGTCCCCTGGTATCTTCTGACTGCCTTCTTGCCCCTCTTCCATTCATTCTCCACATGGCTGCCAGAAGGTTCTTAAAATATTGGCCAAAACATTCCATTCACTCCTCTGCTCAAAACCCTTCAACAGCAGTCAATTACAGTACGGATGAAATCCCCAGTCCTTGCACTGGCCTTCTGGAGCCTCTCTGACAGTCCCATCTGGCGCCACTCTGCCCCCATGCCCTTCACTTGAGCCCCATTGGTTTCCCCGAGCTCCTTCTCCAACAGACCTGTCCCATCTGCCATCGCTGCTGTCTGGGGACTGAGGAGATTCTTTGCCTAGCTCTTTACTAGGCAAATTCTTACCCAGCCTTCAGTCCCAACTTACGTGTCTATTGCTCAAAGTTGCCTTATTTGACTTCCCCAATTCAAATTAGCTCCCTCAGTTAGAATTCCTCATGGAACCCCCAACTTGTGCTTCATAGCACGTGGGAATTTTTTTATAACATTTAATTATGCAATTATCTGTGTAGCTTCTTTTTCCCCTCCTACTTCCAGACTTTAAACTCATTGAGACCTGGGCCATGTCTGTTTCGGTCTCCACTATATCTCCTGTGTCTGTATCTTCTGTGTCTGCCCCAGTGCCTGGACCATTCTAGACATTCAACAAATATATACTGAAGAAGTGAGAGGGAACAGACGTCTCCACTGTTAATCATCCTGAGAAGAGGTCAACCTTGGGGGCAGCGGTTAGTTTCACTTGGCCAAGTGGAGGGAGACCGGGCAGGAACTGACCTGGTAACTGACCTGAAGTCTGTGCTCATGTGGCAGTAATATATTATTCTCTATGTTGTACTTCTTTATGTTACCTCAATATTTCAATAAATCCCATCACAGGGCATTGTTTTGATTTCAATTCTGTTGTTTGGTACTGAAAATGGGCATATATCTGTGCATTAGAAGCAAGGGGAACAATGAGAACAGTGTCCTCCACCAAAGGCCACCACTCGGGGGCAGAGGGTGGCACTGGCCTTCATCTGGCAGGGGCCAGCTTTGTCGTGCAGGCCAGCAATTTCATGAGGGAAATGGCAGTGATGTGGTGGCACGGGGGTGAGGCTGGGATAGGAAAATCAAGGTTTGCTCTTGGCCACACAGGAGTGGCACCAGAGAACCTTCAGAACGACTGGAAAACACTATGGATGAGGGAGCTAATTTCTGATGATTAGTGCGGAGGGGATTGGACATTAAAAGTAAATGTGAAAAAAAAGTCAATGTGGTCTTACTCTTAGGTCATGGACTAGTGAGGTTTGGGACATATTGGTAGCACTAAAATTGGAATATTGCATTAAGACTGAAGCTTTAAAAAGAGGGTTAAAAAAGGCATATTCGGGGAATGGGAAAGGTTCCTTGGCTTCACTGTTTTCTTTCCCTGCCAAATAAAGTCTGGGAACTGGGGTGTTTTCTCTAAGCCTATTTCCTTTTCTTTACAAGTTATTTTCTTTAGTTTTAAAATTTTTTTTGGTACCAGAACAAGCAAAGGCTCTTTTGCAAACTGTCCTTATCCTTGCTGCTGTGTGTGTGGCAAGATATAAACTCACTAGTCCCAAGCAGTGATCACAACCTCCCAGATATCACCGTTACTTCTCCAAAGAGCAAATGACTTCTAGCCCCACCTCCCCACTCCTTGCCCCTTCTCTATGCACCCACGACATCAAAGCAAACAAAACAGATGGTTTCATGGGAATGGTGGGCTGTTTTAATTCTGGGACAATACAACTATTAATAAGGGACTTTTTTTTTATGCTCTCTTAGAAATGGAAGGAAATTGGAAAGAGCTCTGTTAAATGGGTTGATAAGAACCTCTCTGAGGACTTGGTTATTACCAAATGAAATGTTATCTTCCTGGGAAATGAGAGAGGCCGGGAATCCTACGACGACAGGCTGCTATTAAAGAGTCTCCTGTTTTGCTTGGTGGTTTCGCATGTCTGCAAGTGTTCTCATGTAGAAGTTGAGAGTTCTCAGGACACATGTCTTGTGCTCCTTTTGCAACCCCTGCAGCACTTAATTATGGGGCTAGAGTAGGTGATATGTTGTTAAGTGAACGATCCCAGTCTGGGCACATTCATCAGTCCACACATTCATGTCCGCAACTGTTTATTGAGCATGCATTGTGCGCCCAGTACTGCTCTGGCTTCCAGGGATAGCGGGTGGGGCGAAGTGGGACACTGTCTGCTGGACTTTTCGTTGGCCCTGGGAATTTTTCTACACTTCATGAAGATTATTTTTTAGAATTCCAGCTGTGTTGTGACATTTTGATATTTACTGATGAAAACATGGAAGGATGAACACACATGAACACGTCAAGAAGCTGTTCAAAAAGCGTTTTTCCCAAGTATCCCAGTGATGCTCCTGCTGCAAAACAGCTTCCACCCCCTGATAACTCACCCCTGATAACCCACCCCTGATAACTCAACATTAGCTTTGCATTGTTGACTTCTTGCCTCCAATAAAAGAGCTGTGGAACTGGACTTTTCTCAAATATCCTGCAGTTGCTGCCTTTGCAGCCTCAACTTATATAGCAAACACATCACTATCACCACTAATGCTGCATTCGCATTTCCAGACGACCTTATGATTCTAGTGTTAACTACAAAAACATGAAGTGAAACAAAACAGAAAAACATAAGATTAATTAAAGACACTTCGCTGCTACTTTTGGATCCATGAAATTCCACAACCAACTGCAATCATTTGTTTATAATGTATGTAAGTCAGAGCCTCTTTGGAGCTTTCATCCATTAATGGGCAAACATGATTAATGACATGAAGATATATATTGAACCAATGATCATTTTCTATATATTTTTAAGTGAGGTATAACTTACATACAGTAACATGCAAAGATATTTATTTTCTTTGTAATTGTTGAATTATCTCTATAAAGTTATTCATAATATCCCTTTATTGTCTTTTATTATCTGTAGAATCTATAGTAACGTCCTCTCTGTGGTTCCATTTTAACAGCTTCTTTTTGGATTGCAATAGTCATCCTTATTTTATCATAGGCTACCATAAGTTAATATTATAACACTTCTCATATAATGGAAGAAAGCTTTAATATTATACTTCCACATAA